GGGGTGTTGGGTTCTCTGGGCTTCTAAATGGTGCATTCTGATCGCCTTGAGCTCCGAAGCCTCTGCCAGCAACATCAGCGCCCTTTGCCACTCCTCACCCTTCTCACCTCAGAGGGTGGCGGTTTACGGTTTACTTTGGGCTCCTTTAAGGGTTCCTTTGCCTTCGAGGGGCTTTGCGTCAGGGTTCTTTCAAGGCTCTGTTCGGGTTCTGGGGCTCTTGAGCTAAGTAAAATAGAGGCCTTAGCCATTAGAATAGGTGTTGGGGTATTAAGACTTTTTATGCCATAGTCATAAGGACTAGAAGGGTATACTGCTGCCAATTATTCCGGTCCCTAAACTAAATCATTGGGATTGCAGGCTTGAGGGAAGTGTTTAGTTCACAGTCCAGATTGTAGTGGATTCATTTTGTACCCCTAGCGTTGTCGACTGTCTGTCAGGCCCCTAAACCCTAAACTCTAANNTAAACCCCAAACCCTAAACCGCGCGTGGTCGGGCGAGATATTGTTGATGGTGAGTCCCGTGGTTAAAGGCTCGAGGGGCTCTCAGGGGTTCTCATACTTATCTTGTGAGGAAAGCACGGGGGGGTTCTCCCTCGGGGGTGGTTCCTTATATCATCTGAGACTCCCATGGAGGTTGAGGTTGTTATGTTCCAACTTCAGCAGAAGCTCGTTACTCTCAAGAGAGATCCTATACATAGGCACGGAGAGTTCAAAGCGAACTGACGAAACCAAATCCCGCAGCAACAAACCCTAATTTCAACCAGTAGCAGCCAGTATAGCTTGCAGGGACCTGCTGCAATTAACCTACTTTGAAAGTCGAAGTACAAGCACTAAGCACTAACTGAACCCCCTTCCGACCTACCTTTTTATGGTTCTTTATTATGAGTTCCTTGCGCAAATCCTCAAGGTTGCGTGGGGTTGAAGGCACACCCTTAAAATTGGAATACCCGAGAAGATCCAAAGATCTTGGTCCAGAGATTAAAAGACTCAAGGTTTAGGGTTTAGGGTTAAGAACAGGCTGACCCTCCCAAAAAGCCTGAAAAAGCCAGATCTCGAGCCACATGAGATTCGACACGGTGCAACAATGGTACATAAATTGGCCCCAAATTTGCCATATACGAATTACGAACCTCTTTACGACCAAAGTCTGCACTGTGTAACTATGTGTGTGTATATAGATATACATCTATATTTGTTTATTTGTCTATATTTATGTATGTACATGCACCCTAAATAGATTAGGCCAGCCGCAGACGCTAATGGCGGAGTTGTAGATGATGACGTTCATGCCCAGGTGGCCTTCCCGAGCTTCGCCAAGCAGGCCTGAGCTCTGATTTCCCCCTGCCCCAAAGGGCTCCTTTAAAGGGCTCCTTT